AGCCAAGACATTTGTTCCGACCACCAAATCCATCGCCTCTTCCTGCAGGTACCGGCATCCAGGAAAGGAAAGTTAGTTGTGATTAGAAAAGTTGTGAGAACAAGTACAACCTTCAGGACACAATGTCCAGGGGGTGAGCATGCTCTACCACTAAGGGACAGTTTAGTTGGCGCATTTTCCATTTTTGTATTTTTATTAGCGTAAATCGTTCCTGTTCACACATATGATATTTTAGTCATTTATTAGATGCTCTTATCCAGGGCGACTTACAGTTAGTGCATTCATCTTAAGATAGCTAGGTGGGACAACCACATATCACAGTCATAGTAAGTACATTTTCCTTAATAAAGTAACGTTAGCTATCAGCAAAGTCAGAGTTAGTAAGGGGGAACAAAGTCACGTGCGCGTGTTAGCTGACATGGGCTAGTTGATCTGGACATTTCTGACAAGTTATAAATAGCTCTCTAAAGTATGCAATGATTGACATGACAAGAGGAAAACCAATGATGCACTACCACATTTAGAAATTGCATCTAAATGCATTCTACTATTACAACTTTCAAGAGTAAGTTGAAAACCGGACAGAGTTCCTTTAAAAATAAATGGTTCGCTCCTACAGACAGTGAGTAACGGGCTATATAAAGCTTGCTATATAAAGCAGGCAGACAAGCATCGAAGCATTCAGTCGTATTTGTCTTTGACAATCAAAGGAAGCCCCGCCGTAAAGCAGGGCATCAAAAAATTAGTTGATACTCATAATGTTCCTCCCCACGGAAATCTTTAGTAAAAGGCGAAAGATTTATGCGATCTGAAGAGAAACCAGAGTGTACTAATTTGTATAAAGTTACATTGGAAAGGGATTCACGGACATGACATTCCCTATAGCGGTAAAAACGAATCTCGGCACCAATAACCAAATCTCATGCCCTGTTCAACGTGTCCAGTCATAAGCATGCATTGCAGAATATTAGGATAGTATAAATATATTCCTGTTATAAAATATTACAGTAAGAATCAACAATTATTTCACATGAGGTGCATGATGGGTAACTTCCTACGCATGCGCAGTTTAATTTTCACTAGAGAATCTTGTTGGTAGGTGGCACTTTAGTGCTGATTTCGCCTTCCATTACATTTATTTGTCACAGGCGCCGAATACAACCTTACCGTGAAATGCTTACTTACAAGCCCTTAACCAACAATGCAGTTCAAGAAATAGAGTTAAGAAAATATTTACTAAATAAACTAAAGTTACAAAAAATAATATATTAAAAAAAAAATTACACAAGAAAATAACAATAACGAGGCTATATACGGGGGTACCGGTACCGAGTCAATGTGCGGGGGTACAGGTTAGTCGAGGTAATTTCTACATGTAGGTAGGGGTAAAGTGACTATGCATAGATAATAAACAGCCAATAGCAGCAGGGGGGTCAATGTAAATAGTCCAGGTGGCCATTTCATTAATTGTTCAGCAGTCTTATGGCTTGGGGTAGAAGCTGTTAAGGAGCCTTTTGGTCCTAGACTTGGTGCTCCGGTACTGCTTGCCGTGCGGTAGCAGAGAGAACAGTCTTTGACTTGGGTGACTTTTTGGGCCTTCCTCTGACACGCCTAGTATATAGGTCCTGGATGGCAGGAAGGTTGGCCCCAGTGATGTACTGGGCCGTATGCACTACCTTCTGTAGCGCCTTACGGTCAGATGCCAAGCAGTTGCCATACCAGGCGGTGATGCAACCGGTCAGGATGCTCTCGATGGTGCAGCTGTATAACTTTTTGAGGACCTGGGGACCATTTTTACATTTTAGTCATTTAGCAGACGCTCTTATCCAGAGCGACTTAGAGTTAGTGAGTGCATACATTATTTTTTTCATACTGGCCCCCCGTGGGAATCGAACCCACAACCCTGGCGTTGCAAGCGCCATGCTCTATCAACTGAGCTACACAGGACCGATGCCAAATCTTTTCAGTCTTTTGAGGGGGAAAGGGTGTTGTCGTGCCCTTTTCACGACTGTCTTGGTTTGTTTGGACCATGATAGTTTGTTGGTGATGTGGACACAAAGGAACTTTAAACTCTCGACCCGCTGCACTACAGCCCTGTCGGTGTTAATGGGGGCCTGTTCGGCCTGCCTTTTCCTGTAGTCCTGTAGTCCTTTGTCTTGCTCACATTGAGGGAGAGGTTGTTGAGCCTGTCAGAGGTTCTGGAATCAACCATGTATAATCATTAAAAACCAGCTTCAGTTCCAAAGAGAAAAATGGCAATGTAAAAGGCAAGGTTCTTCTGCAAATAATAATTATCCCCATGAGAACTTGGAAAGTTTAGCATATAACTTCTGTTTCAAATAAGTTTTATTAGAGCAGATGTATAAATGTCTAATAACATTTTTTGGGACATATATTACAACATGGACATACAAAAATTACAACAGACAAGAGTTTGACACATTTAAACAAAATGGATACATCAAAAACACTGATGTGGTTTAAGTATTTATATCAGGTTTGCCATGCCCATGCAAATAATGTACTAAAAACGATGAATTCACATGACGAATATAAGATAGAGCATGCATGTAGTAGGCCTCTCGATGTCGAATCTCACTAGGCCACTCTAGTGTAGAGAAACACATCTGTCACCTGTAGTAAAACATTTTTTCAAGAAAACAGTAGGCTACTAAGGTTGCGTTTAGACAGGCAGACCAATTCTGATATATCTTTCCACTAATTGGTCTTTTTACCAATCACATCAGATCTTTTCACATCAGATCTTTCTCAGAGCTGATCTGATTGGTAAAAAGCCCAATTAGTGGGAAAAAAATATCAGAATTGGGCTGCCTGTCTAAACAGCCTCACTGACCTTTATTTCCACTTTTTGTTCCAATGTGAACACTTTATGTCTGTAACCGTCCAAAATCATGTTAATTCAGGTGTTACATCACCTGCATCTTGTCAGCATCTGAAAATGGCAAATTAAATGACTGATCGCTGGCTCCGATTGCTCAGATTAGTAGAGGGTTCAATCCTAAATAGAATATATGTATAAAATTAATACCATAGGCCTTGTCAACTATGCTTGCCTACTATCACACGTAATCGCCATACAGAGTGTCATGTAACCAAAGTACCCAATTCATATCCACATAACTAGGCTACAACATAGCAGCAGAAACCATGTTTACGGATATTTGTCACACACATTATCTTTGTGTATGCTGTGCAGTGAGCACCTATGTTTTGCTGTTCTTGCCTTGTTAAAAATCGTATAATGTGATGTGGTCCCATTCTGTATTTAAAGGCCCAGTGCAGTTAAAAATGTGATTTTCCTATGTGTGTATATATATATATATATATATATATATATAGTTAGACTTGTCCTAAAAGAGCATAAAACGTGAAAAGTGGGCAACAAGACACATTCCACAAGTTCTCAAGTAGTGAGATCACTTTAATAAGTCACAAAGATGGTCGGAAAATGGCAGATGCTACAAGGAGCAGGGGTACAACCAGACAGAAACATTGTACAGTATTCCGTACCAAAACTGGCAAATACAGGCATCTCTGCTGTATACTGGAAGGCTGTTTTATAAGATCAAACCTCTGCTTTCCATTCTGGCTAAGTAACTCACATCACATGGTGCTGAAACTGCAATTCCTGAGTCACTTTAAAACACTACCATCAAGGTGTCTTCAGTATATGACAAATTATCACAATATTTTAGAAAAAAATATAATAGGCATATGATGGAATTTAAGACTCCCTAATACTCCGTTCACATAGAAAACCATGTAGCAGCACTATTCAAAATGTAACTTTGGAAAAAGTATGGAATGTATACTTCATGATTATCATATATATATATTCAGGTCATCATCATGGCACAACAGTTTCACGTTTTCAGTCAAATCTTTGTTTCTCAATTCTCTTCAAGGTATATACAGTGTACAAAACATTAGGAACACCTTCCTAACATTGAGTTGCACCCACTTTTTGCCCTCAAAACAGCCTCAATTCGTCGGGCCATGGACTCTACAAGGTGTCGAAAGCATTCCACAGGGATGCTGGCCCATGTTGACTCCAATGCATCCCACAGTTGTGTCAAGTTGGCTGGATGTCCTTTGCGTGGTGGACCATTCTTGATAAACACAGGAAAATGTTGAGCGTGAAAAACTCAGCAGCGTTGCAGTTCTTGACACACTGTAAAAATACATGTATTTCCTGACCTGGGGTATAAATGTAAACAGAGGTTGTTTAGGGCCTTTTTGTAATAGCCACCTAAATGCTTTCACGTATCACCTTAAAACGTTATAACAATGCGTGAGAAAACACAAGGCAATTCAGTTGAATAGTGGCGATGGCAGCTATTTTAGTAGAAGTAGTCTATCTGGTCACAGTAAAATAAATAGAGAAATAGTTGCTTGACTTTTTACAATTCTGAACATGCAGATTAGTACTAGAAGTACTTCATTAAGATAGAGAATAGCATGGTGATGGTCACAACACTAATTGTAATTTTAAGAGCAAGTTCCATGCAAATCAGGATTTAGATTTTATACTCATGTGCACATACACCATTTTTTTTGTACTTCATATTTTCCTTCACACAGCAATTTAACACATTTTGCCATGGGGTGAAAAATACAAAAATGGGTAACCACACTGTAATAGCAAGTTTGGTGACAATTTGTGTTCCTTTGGGGATGGAAATGCATTCCAGGCTGCGCCTCAACCGAGGATGATGGTCTACTCGCCCTATCCCAGAGAGAGGCATGGGCATCTTATTCTTTGATTGGCTTTGCTGTATCATTTAGTCATCAGTTCATACATATAGTCTTTGTCCTCTTAATATCAAAATAAGGCAAGTTTCACACAAATAATTATATTTTTGTCCCTGACAGTGGAATTTAAATCAATTCTGCAGTCTGTGTCCCGTTCTGCTGACCCCAATGGCAGAGGGTGGTATAGCATCATGCATTTGAGTGAAGGTGTGGACGCGCTAGCCCGATCAGATGGCCTTGATGTCCATGAGGTGGCTGTGCTGGGTTCCCTGCCTCTGGGCCTTGACGTCCTGCAGTCTGCGACCGTGGAGGGTGAAGCGGGACCAGGCCAGTAGCTGTAGCAGGGCACAGGAGATGGGCACAAACACTAGCAGGTAGAAACAGCCCTGGCGCAGTGGAACAGTGGAGCCTGCTTGGCCTGAGACAGGGGATGCCATTGCTGCTACAGAGTCCTGTATGGAGTTTCTCTCAAAGATATCGTAGCCTGGAAATAAAGAGAGAGAATAAAGAACAGGCATGAATGCGTGGGAATCCGCCTAGAGTAAGGTTAGTGAAATTGGTTTGATTCTAGTTCATTCACAGTGACTGATTTCTGCATCTTCGAGGAGCCTGTATTTAAAACAGACTTTTGTGCTTTTGCCCCTCTGCCCATGTATACCTGTGTAGACACACAGCAGCCAGGTGCCGATGAGAGGAGCAAAGGTCTGGCCAGGCTTGGTCACAAGGGCCACCATGCCGAAGAGCAGCGCTGACGCTGCCTGCTGGCGCCGGTTCACCACAAAGTCCTCGTCCACCAGATCTGTGATGACCAGGTTCAACAGCTTGCAGGTGCCCTCCGTAAATACCCGGTTACTTGGGAGGGGGAGAAGGAGCACAAGAGTATAAGCATATTTCAGAGCCATTACTGAAGTATTGTAAACACCGTTTCCAATTTTGCCTCAACGTCAGCAAGACAAAAAGGAGCTGATAGTGGACTACAGGAAACGGAGGACGGAGCATGCCCCCAATCACATCGATGGGGCTGTAGTGGAGCGCGTCAAGAGCTTCAAGTTCCTCGGTGTCCACATCATTAAGGAATTAACATGGTCCACACACACACACACACACAATACAGTCGTGAAGAAGGCACGACATCGCCTCTTCCCCCTCAGGAGGCTGAAAAGATTTGGCATTGGCTCTCAGATCCTCAAAAAGTTATACAGCTGCACCAATGAGACCATCTTGACTGGCTACATCATCGCTAGGTATGGCAACTGCTTGGCATCCGACCGCAAGGCTCTACAGAGGGTAGTGCGTACGGCCCAGTACATCACTGGGGCTGAGCTCCCTGCCATCCAGGACCTCTATACCAGGCGGTGTCAGAGAAAGGCCCTAAAAATTGTCAAAGACTCCAGACACCCAAGTCATAGACTGTTCTCTCTACTACCGCATGGCAAGCGGTACCGATGCACCAAGTCCGGAACCAACAGGACCCTGAACAGCCCTCTGAAGTCTGTTACGACGGCGAACTGCAGTCAGGTCAAAACCCTGGTGAGGACGACGAGCACGCAGATGAGCTTTCCGGAGACGGTTTCTGACCATTTTTGCAGAAATTCTTCAGTTGTGCAAACCCACAGTTTCATCAGCTGTCCAGGTGGCTGGTCTCATATGATCCCGCAGGTGAAGAAGCCAGATGTGGAGGTCCTGCGTCGTTACACGTGGTCTGCGGTTGTGAGGTCAGTTGGATATACTGCTAAATTCTCTAAAACGACGTTGGAGGTAGCTTATGGTAGAGAAATAAACAAATTCTCTGGCAATAGCTCTGGTGGACATTGCTGCAGTCAGCATGCCAATTGCAAGATCCCTCAAAACTTGAGACAATGTGGCATTGTGTTGTGTGACAAAACTGCACATTTATGCAGTGGTGGAAAAAGTACTCAATTGTCATCGAAAATGACTCAAGTAAAATTGAAAGTTACCCAGTAAAATACTACTTGAGTAAATGTTTAAAAGTATTTGGTTTTAAATATACTTAAGTATCAAAAGTAAATTGAATTGCTAAAATATACTTAAGTATAAAAAGTAAAAGTACACAGTCCCAGTCAAAAGTTTGGACACACCTACTCATTGAAGACATCAAAACTATGAAACAACACATATGGAATAATGTAGTAACCAAAAAAAAAAAAAGTGTTAAACAAATCAAAATATATTTTATATTTCAGATTCTTCAAAGTAGCCACCCTTTGCCTTGATGACAGCTTTGCACACCCTTGGCATTCTCTCAACCAGCTTCATGAGGAATGCTTTTCGAACAGTATTGAAGGAGTTCCCACATATGCTGAGCACTTGTTGGCTGCTTCTCCTTCACTCTGCGGTCCAACTCATCCCAAACCATCTCAAATTGGGTTGAGGTCGGGTGACTGGAGGCCAGGTCATCTGATGCAGCACTCCATCACTCTCCTTGGTCAAATAGCCCTTACACAGCCTGGGAGGTGTGTTTTGGGTCATTGTCCTGTTGAAAAACAAATGATAATCCCAATAAGCGCAAACCAGATGGGATGTCGTATCGCTGCAGAATGCTGTGGTAGCCATGCTGGCTACCACACTGACAGTGTCACCAGCAAAGCACCCCCACACCATTACGCCTCCTCCTCCATGCTTCGCGGTGGGAACCACACATGCGGAGATCATCCGTTCACCTTCTCTGCGTCTCACAAAGACACGGCGGTTGGAACCAAAAATCTCAAATTTGGACTTATCAGACCAAAAGGACAGATTTCCACCGGTCTAATGTCCATTGCTCGTGTTTCTTGGTCCAAGCAAGTCTCTTCTTATTATTGGTGTCCTTTAGTAGTGGTTTCTTTGCAGCAATTCGACCATGAAGGCCTGATTCACGCAGTCTCCTCTGAACAGTAGATGTTGAGATGCGTCTGTTATTTGAACTCTGTGAAGCATTTATTTGGGCTGCAATCTGAGGCTGGTAACGCTAATGAACTTATCCTCTGTAGCAGAGGTAACTCTGGGTCTACCTTTCCTGTGGCGGTCCTCATGAGAGTCAGTTTCATCATAGCGCTTGATGGTTTTTGCAACTGCACTTTCAAAGTTCTTGAAATGTTCCGGATTGACTGACCTTCATGTCTTAAAGTAATGATGGACTGTCGTTTCTCTTCGCTTATTTGAGCTGTTCTTGCCATAATATGGACTTGGTCTTTTACCAAATAGGGCTATCTTCTGTATATCACCCCTACCTTGTCACAACACAACTGAAGGAAGGAAAGAAATTCCACAATTGAACTTTTAACAAGGCACACCTGTTCATTGAAATGCATTCCAGGTGACTACCTCATGAAGCTGGTTGAGAGAATACCAAGAGTGTACAAAGCTGTCATCAAGGCAAAGGGTGGCTACTTTGAAGAATCTCAAATATAAAATATATTTTGATTTGTTTAACACTTTTTTGGTTACTACATGACTCCATATGTGTTATTTCATAGTTTTGATGTATTCACTATTATTCTACAATGTAGAAAATAGCCAAAATAAGGAAAACCCTGGAATGTGTAGGTGTGTCCAAACTTTTGACTGGTACTGTAAATCATTTCAAATTCCTTATATTAAGCAAACCAGATGGCACAATTTTATTTATTTATTTGTATTTACAGATAGCCAGGGGCACACTCCAACACAATTGACAAACAAAGCACTTGTGTTTAGTGAGTCCCCAGATCAGAGGCAGTAGGGATGACCAGGGATGTTCTCTTGGTAAGTGCATGAATTGGACCATTTTCCTGTCAAAATGTAATGAGTACTTTTCAGTTCCAGGGAAAATGTATGGAGTAAAAAGTACATTATTTTCTTTAGGAATGTAGTGAAGTAAAAGTAAAAGTTGGCAAAAATAGGAATAGTAAAGTAAAGTACAGATACCCCAAAAAACTACTTAAGTAGTACTTTAAAGTATTTGTACTGAAGTACTTTACACCACTGCATTTATGTAATGATCGTGCTCTTTAATCAGCTACTTGATATGCCACACCTGTCAGGTAGATGGATTATCTTGGCAAAGGAGAAATGCTCATTAACAGGGATGTAAACAAATGTGTGTACAACATTTGAGAGAAATAAGCTTTTTAGTGCGTATGGAAAATTTTGTGGATCTTTTATGTCAGCTCATGAAACATGGGACCAACACTTTACATGTTGCGTTTATATTTTTGTTCAGTGTAGTTAACCGAATAGCTACCTGGACTATCTGCATTGACCCTCCCCTTTGCACTAACTGTTTTGACTCAGCACATACGTTGCTGCTTATTAACTATCCTGTTGCCTAGTCACTTTGCCCCTACCTGTATGTGCGTGTCTGACTCAATTGCCTCGTGCCCCTGTGCATCGACTCGGTTCTGGTACCCCGTGTATATAACCATGTTGTCATTGCTGATTGTGTATTTATTCCTCATGTTATTATCTTTCTATTATTTGTCTCTCTGCATTGTTGGGAAGGGCCCGTAAGTAAGCATTTCACTGTTAGTCTACACCTATTTTTTACAAAGCATGTGACAAATAAAATGTGATTTTGATTTGATCTGCTAATATACAATACTTCGGAATATGCAACAGATTTTCCCGAGCAGGAGTTTAGAAGGGGGGGGAAAAAGGAGAAGCAAAAGAAACCTGCTGGGCTAAAAAGGTCAAGGCATTTATATAAAGGCCCAAACCAACAGAGAAAAGCCTCTCCTCCACTATGACTTTATCTCATTGTGGTCTATGAAAACAATGGCACTGTGCCAAGGGGACTAGTGGTAGGCTGCACCCAGCCCCATGTTGATAAAGGGATTGGTTGGTTGGCTGACACACAACACCCAGCCAGGCCCAATGCAAACAGAGCCACACAAAACTGCTGGGTAAGCTGGGAATCTTCATTGATTTGCTCAGCTTCGACAAGTATTGGAAAAACACATGACACTGGGTCCTTGATATGAAAATAACTTCCATGACTTGAGTACATGACCTTGATATGTAAAATGAAATACAAATGTGTTGCTTATGAACATTTCTAGCAAACTATGTTAGTATTTTACATTAGCATGTAATGTACAGTATTCAATTGAATGAGGAAAGTGTGTGTGTGTGTGTGTGTGTGTGTGTGTGTGTGTGTGTGTGTGTGTGTGTGTGTGTGTGTGCGTCAGTACCTGGCGATGAAGATGCACAGCAGGTAGACCTGGTCGGCCCCGGCCAGCAGCATGGCCACACTGAGAGCCAGCTTGACCACGAACAGCCAGCGGATGACCGTGTAGACCCCGTAGCGCTGACACAGGGTCAGGAAATACAGGTTGTTCAGGTGGGGTGCTATGTAGGAGATCCCTGTGAGTAGTCGTCGAGAGCAGCTGTTAGTGGACTGGGTAACACTTTATTTGGATAGTCTGTAGAGCATCTACAGATGGATGATCGATCTACAGACTGAGTAACATTTCAACTAACCATCTACTAACCCTAGCTCTAACCCTAACCTTAACCCTTATCCTATCCCATACCCTTATTCTAAACCTAACCTTAACAAGCAGTTGCTTATCAACAGATAGATTGTTGATAGTATGACCATCTGTTGAGCATATACAGATGGAAAATCCAGACTATCCAAATAAAGTGTGACCGTGGACTGAAAAGCCACATTTATTAATGTATGGAGACAAGTGATAAATTGTGTTTCCTCACATTCTAAGAACTCATCCTTCCAAAAATGTAAACAGATAAAAACTAATAGCCTGGTCCCAGATCTGTTTGTGCCGTCTTGCCAACTCCTATGGTCATTGTCAGGCCAAACGTGACAATGGCCATAGAAATTGGCAAGACAGCACAAACAGATCTGGGACCAGGGTATGAAACTAAGCCCATTCTATACATGAGGCCCTTCCCTTGTCATGGTGCATATATCCAGCAGTACTGGTCTTACCCAGCAGAATGGAGCCGGTGGAGGCAGAGATGCTGTCAGAGAGGAGGTGCTCCAGGAACAGAGGGAAGAAGTTGTTGTTGAAGTGACAGTGAAACACCTGGACCAGGTTCATAGAGGCGAACCACATGAAGTTTCTGTGCTTGGAGAGCTGCCTTAGATACTCTCCTAGAGTGACTGGCTTCTCCTGCTGGGTCAGAGGGCTCTGGCCAATACTTAACCTGAGAGAGAGGACGGGGGGATTACATTTACATTTTAGTCATTTAGCAGACGCTCTTATCCAGAGCGACTTACATTATTTATTTATTTTCCTACCCCCTGTGGGAATCGAACCCACAACCCTGGCGTTGCAAACACCATGCTCTATCAACTGAGCTACATCCCTGCCGGCCATTCCCTCTCCTACCCTGGACGATGCTGGGCCAATTGCGCGCCGCCCCATGGGTCTCCCGGTCACGGCCGGCTACAACAGAGCCTGGATTCGAACCAGGATCTCTAGTGGCACAGCTAGCACTGCAATGCAGTGCCTTAGACCACTGCGCCACTCGGGAGATTAGTGAAAGGACAACCAGTGTAACATCAAACACACACACACACAACCCAGGGGATTGAGTCTGTAACCTGTGCAGGTGTTACTGTTTATCTCCCTGCCCTACAGACGGAATGAGTGTGTGCAAACTGTGCATGAATTCTATTAGCTCACATTACAGCCCCACTATAGTCTCTTTAAAAATCCCATATGCCTGGCATAGACACCACAGGGGTAGAAAGATTAAACGGCTGATTTGAGGCCATAAGGTGAGTTGTGGGAAGCAAACCAAGAATGGGTGTCGTTGTTCAGTTACCACTTGCAGTGTATAATGTAAACCAAGTGCTTCTCAAGTGCATACATGATGAATGATAATGTCACCTACTCCTTGAGTTTCACCGCCTCGTCCTCCCTCAGGCACGCCTCTTTCTGAAAGCGGCTCTTCAACAGGCGCGACACGGCGGTGAAGCCCAGAGCCGAGACGGCCGCCAGCGCCACGCAGAACAGCCGGAACGAGTAGAAGTTACCCTTGTCCCAGACGCAGTAGGACAGGAAGACAGAGAGCGAGCCCAGGGCACTGAACAGAGAGCAGTGGAAGTTGAGGCGCGTGCGGTCGTAGGCCGACACGGCCAGGTCGGCCAGCAGGGCGTTGTGGTTGAGGTCCACCACGGTGAGGAAGCCGTCGTACAGGCACAAGCACACCAGGAACTGGAGGCCCGGCCGCGCCCACGACACCCAGAAGGCCAGGAAGGAGAGGGCGAACAGGGGGCCATTCCTGGAGAGGGCAGCCAGCCGCTTTAGTACCACCTCTGGGTTGGAGATCTGGGGGCCAGACCTACGATGGAGGGGAGAGAAGAAAAAAAAAAGGCTAGTGCAACGGTAAAGAAACTTCTACCACTAACTGTACTTTCAAGACAGAGTGTGAAAAAGAGAGAGCTACACCATTGATTTGAGGAAAAATATTAAAAGAGAACGTCTTACTGTGGGGAGCTGAGGAAGGAGCGGTCACTCAGCCAGCCAAAGAGAGGGTCATTCAAGCTGTTCCATATCAGGAACACTGTCTGTGTGGGACAGAGAGTCAGTGGTGGAGGAGTTAGTATAACAGTAGGGTTAAACATCCTAACCCACAAATATTATAATAACCTGTGGAAGGCAGGAACTGTCACTCACCTCTCCGACCCAAAAGGAGAGCTTGTCGATCTTATAAACGGAGACAAATGTCTCCACGTAGTAGAGCAGGAAGACGTTGTGCAGGATGGAGACAAACAGGGCCAGGGAGCCGTACAGGACTGCAGTGGGGACACCAGTGGAGACAGCTAGCCTGCAGCCCCAGCCCCTCCTGCCCATTCTTCTTACTCAGTCTCTCTGCTGTTCTGTTCTCCGCCGCCACACCACACTCATTGAGTCATCTCACAGACCAGGGGGCTGGGGCTATGGGCACCACCGTACCCACTCCTGCCAGGGCAAACAAGAAACATGTCAATAACAATTTGGAGGGCAGACTAAATGTTGATGTGTGAGGTGGGTTTGGCTAGGTTAATGTACAGAGTGGGAGAAGAGCCAGCTTGAGCAAATAGACATGAAGGAGCAAGAGTAACACATCCTACTTACAGTGCATTCGGAAAGTATTCAGACACCTTGACTTTTTCCACATTTTGTTATGTTACAGCCTTATTCTAAAATGTATTAAATAAATAAAAATCCATCAATCAATCTATACACAATACCCCATAATGACAAAGCGAAAACAGTTTTGAAATGTTTGCCAATTTATTAAAAATAAAAAACAGAAATACCTTATTTACATAAGTATTCAGACCCTTTGCTATGAGACTCGAAATTGAGCTCAGGTGCATCCTGTTTCCATTGATCATCCTTGAGATGTTTTTACAACTTGATTAGAGTCCACCTGTGGTCAATTCAATTGATTGGACATGATTTGGAAAGGAACACACCTGTCTATATAAGGTCCCACAGTTGACAGTGCATGTCAGAGCAAAAACCAAGCCATGAGGTCGAAGAAATTGTCCATAGAGCTCCGAGACAGGATTATGTCGAGGCACAGATCGGGGGAAGGGTACGAAAAAGATGTCTGCAGCATTGAAGGTCCCCAAGAACACAGTGGCCTCCATCATTCTTAAATGGAAGAAGTTTGGAACCACCAAGACTCTTCCTAGAGCTGGCCACCCGGCCAAACTGAGCAATTGGGGGAGAAGGGCCTTGGTAAGGGAAGTGACCAAGAACCCGATGGTCACTCGGACACAGCTCCAGAGTTCCTTTGTGCAGATGAGAGAACCTTCCAGAAAGACAACCATCTCTGCAGCACTCCACCTATCAGGCCTTTATGGTTGAGTGGCCAGACGGAAGCCACTCCTCAGTAAAAAGGCACATGACAGCCCGCTTGGAGTTTCTCAGACCATGAGAAACAAAATTCTCTGGTCTGATGAAACCAAGATTGAACTCTTTGGCCTGAATGCCAAGCGTCACGTCTGGTGGAAACCTGGCACCATCCCTAAGGTGAAGCATGGTGGTGGCAGCATCATGCTGTGGGGATATTTGTCAGCGGCAGGGACTGGAAGACGAGTCAGGATCGAGGGAAAGATGAACAGAGCAAAGTACAGAGAGATCCTTGATGAAAACCTGCTCCAGAGCACTCAGGACCTCAGACTGGGGCGAAGGTTCACCTTCCAACAGGACAACGACCCTAAGCACACAGCCAAGACAACGCAGGAGTGGCTTCAGTACAAGTCTCTGAATGTCCATGAGTGGCCCAGTCAGAGCCCGGACTTGAACCCGATCGAACATCTCTGGAGAGACCTGAAAATAGCTGTGCAGTGATGCTCCCCATCCAACCTGACAGAGCTTAAGAGGATCTGTAGAAAAGAACGGGAGAAACTCCCCAAATACAGGTGTGCCAAGCTTGTAGCGTCATACCCAAGAAGACTCGAGGCTGCAATCGCTGCCAAAGGTGCTTCAACAAAGTACTGAGTAATGGGTCTGAATACTTATGTAAATGTGATATTTCCGTTTTATATTTTAATACATTTGCAGCAATTTATAAAAACTTGTTTTTGTTTTGTCATTATGGGGTATTGTGTGTAGATTGAGGGGGGGAAACTATTTAATCAATTTTAGAATAAGTCAGTAACGTAACAAAATGTGGAAAAAGTCAAGGGATCTCAATACAAAAATATAAACGCAACATGTTGGTCCCATGTTTCATGAGCTGAAATAAAAGATTCCAAAAATGTTCCATACGCACAAAAAGCTTATTTCTCTCAAATTGAGCACAAATTTGTTTACATCCCTGTTAGTGAGCATTTCTCCTTTGCCAAAATAATCCATCCACGTGACAGGTGTGGCATATCAAGAAGCTGATTAAACAGCATGATCATTACACAGGTGCACCTTGTGCTGGGGACAATAAAAGGCCACTAAAATGTGCAGTTGTGTCACACAACACCACAGATGTTTCAAGTTTTGAGGGAGTGTGCAATTGGCATGCTGACTGCAGGAATGTCCACCAGAAAATAATGTTTGTTTCTCTACTATAAGCCACCTCCAACGTCGTTTTAGAGAATTTGGCAGTACGTCCAACCGGCCTCACAACCGCAGACCACGTGTAAGTAACCACGCCAGCCCAGGACCTCCACATCCGGCTTCTTCACCTGCAGGATTGTCTGAGGGGGTGCTGAGACACATTTCTGTCTATAATAATGTCCTTTTGTGGGGAAAAACTCATTCTGATTGGCTGGGCCTGGCTCCCCAGTGGGTGGGCCTATGCCCTCCAAGGCCCCACCCATGGCTGTGCCCTCGCCCAGTAATGTGAAATCCATAGATTAGGGCCTAATTTATTTATTTCAACTGACTGATTTCCTTATATGAACTGTAACTCAGTAAAATCTTTGAAATTGTTGTGTTTATATTTTTGTTCAGTATATATATATATATATATATATATATATATATATATACATACATACACACACTTCACCGTCAGACCATTTTATTGGTAAACTACACGTTAATGTAAAAGTTAAAAAATGTGTGATCCGATATGTAATAGTACACCTATAATAATTTTTATTATGAATTATGAATACTCCTACTGTATTCATTAAGTGAGAGTGAAGTTATGAGCAGTATCTGAGCCTGAGGCTGCATCCTACAGTGGCTTGCTTAAGTATTCACCCCCCTTGGCATTTTTCCTATTTTGTTGCCTTACAACCTGGAATTAAAATGGATTTTGGGGGGGGGGGGGGTTGTATCATTTGATTTACACAACATGCCTACCACTTTGAAGATGCAAACTATTTTTTGGGGTGAAACAAACAAGAAATAAGACAAAAAAAACAGAAAACTTGAGCGTGCATAACTATTCACAGCATGATGCTGCCACCACCATGCTTCACTGTGGGGATGGTGTTCTCGGGGTGATGAGAGGTGTTGGGTTTGCGCCAGACATAGCGTTTTCCTTGATGGCCAAAAAGCTCAATTTTAGTCTCATCTGACCAGTGTACCTTCTTCCATATGTTTGGGGAGTCTCCCACATGGCTTTTGGCAAACAACAAACGTGTTTGCTTATTTTTTTCTTTAAGCAATGGCTTTTTTCTGGCCACTCTTCCGTAAAGCCCAGCTCTGTGGCGTGTACGGCTTAAAGTGGTCCTATGGACAGATACTCCAATCTCCGCTGTGGAGCTTTGCAGCTCCTTCAGGGTTATCTTTGGTCTCTTTGTTGCCTCTCTGATTAATGCCTTCCTTGCCTGGTCCGTGAGTTTTGGTGGGTGGCCCTCTCTTGGCAGGTTTGTTGTGGCACCATATTATTTCCATTTTTTAATAAAGAATTTAATGGTGTTCCGTGGGATGTTCAAAGTTTCTGATATTTTTTTATAACCCAACCCTGATCATTACTTATCCACAACTTTGTCCCTGACCTGTTTGGAGAGCTCCTTGGTCTTCATTGTGCCGCTTGTTTAGTGGTGTTGCAGACTCTGGGGCCTTTCAAAACAGGTGTGTATATATATACTGAGATCATGTGACACTTAGTTAAATAAAGTCCACCTGTGTGCAATCTAATTATGTGACTTCTGAAGGTAATTGGTACACTATTTGTGTATGTCCAAATAAAAATCAATTTAAATTACAGGTTGTAATGCAAGGGGGATGAATACATTTGCAAGGCACTGTAAATGGCACCCAATTCCTTACATAGTGCAATACTTTTAACCAAAACTATGGGTCATGGTCAAAAGTAGTGCACTATATTGGGAATAGGGTCCCATTTAGGATGCTTCCTTAGTTTCTCCTGAGTCTCCTCTGGCCTAGGCCCAGCTGTATGACAGGACGGTGTAATCCTATCCTCCAATTATTGTGATTATAGGGTCTGTCTTTCATGATACTAACTCCACCTCACTGTTCTCATAAAAGCCTTTGGCTGGCCACCTTTACACAGGAAGAGAGCCACAATGGAAAAAGCACTGAATCTCTTGACACTCACATTCTAGCTTTTGGTATTTTTTTGTTCTATGGTTGGTTCTAAGGCACACTAAGGAAAGTACCCTAAGTTCGAGAGTGTTCTGTTATGTTGAATCACTTCAGCAAATCATTATATAATCTGTTATTTGTCAACTGGGTGGAGCGAGTCTGAAAAGCATTGCCTGGAAAGCTTAAGAATGTATTTTTCCATTATTTTGTGGTCTGGTGGTTTACTACTACAGCTGTAGTTTTGAGATCTGAAGTGAAGCCTAGAGGATCCCCACTATTACCCAGCATGATTCAGCCTTTAGAACACAAGTCTCACACGTGGCATCCAATGGGAAAACAAATATTTTTGATCATGCCTAGGCTCTGGCTCCACACCTGCCTGCTAGCTGCTACACCACACAAGCCCACACATGCCATAGCCCTGTCCAAGCATTACTTATATGCCATTCAACAGAAAACAGTGAAATCAGCTAATTTACAAAAACAAAATTCTAAACAATTCATTTTTTTCTCTGACAGGTTCTCAGCAGAGAAACTGCACACAGAGTTCTGATTAGGCCAAATGTCTACAAATAGGCCTACGAGTACAGCAAATGACAGCTGTGTCTGATCCCATCAGATCCGTGCAGTGGAGCAGAACGACTCGCTTCTCTGCACTGTATAGTATCACATCTCACAATGTGATTCCCATCTCATCTAATCTTCTGGGAACAGGTAGCAAAGTAGTTTGTGTACAGTATAGTTCAGTAAACCTCTAACTAGGGCCGAATCTAGTTATAGTGGATGCAAGGGCAGCTCTCTCACCTGCCTGCCAAGACTGGAGTGGCTTCTTGGCAGAGAGAGCAGGTAGGCTGGCAGAGGGC